CTCAGAAACTTCTTTCTTGCAATTTTTTATTTTTTTTAATCTCTTCATCGATGTTCGTTGACATTATTAATTATGTAAGATTGCTTAACAAGAAACCACAATTGGCACCCATTACTTTAATCCCCTCTATACAATTTATTGCATTCTTCTTGCAATTTCCTATGGTTACAATAGTCTGATTTTCATATAGCACCCAAATTTTTGGGTGATTCTACTTAGGACGTGTTTGATTGGACAGACTAAATAAGGGGATTAGAATTTATCGGATTTAAATTTTGGAACTGTGAATCTTCTGGACTATTTGGTTGGATTAGATATGTGTACTATGTTTGTTTAATCATGGGATTAGATACTAGGACTGTAAATCCCCCAGATCATTTGGTTGGATTGGATATATATCATTTCTCATGAAATTAGATGTCTGGAAATGACTATTTTTAATAAATCTAATGTTTGGTTAGATGGATTAGATAGGATAAATGAGCAAAAGACTATTTTATCCTTTTTTTAATTATTTACTAAATAATAGCAATATTAAACATATCTTTAATATTTTAATTATTTTTAGCTAGATTAAATAAAAATTTATTTTATTTTATTTTTTACACAATTAAATAAAATTATTTTTAAAAAATTAAATAAATAAAATATCAATAAAAATATATGTTATTTTTTTAATTAAAATTTTAAATAAATTTATTTTAAAAAATAATAATAATGAAATGATGAAATTAAATAAAACATCTATTAAAATTTAAATAATGAAATTAAATAAAATATAAACAAAATTTTAAAATAAAATATCAATAAAATATCTATAAAAAATTATTTTTAAAAATTAAATAAATAAAACATCTATAAAAAGTTAAATAAAATAATTTTATTTTTAAATTGAGACATTTAAATTTTATTGAATTTTCCTAAATATAATACATAATTAAATAGTAGAGGGTCAAAATGGTCATTTCACCACCTAATCCCAACAGTAAATAATCCCATAAAAATTGTCTCACATCTCCCTCGAGATAGTATAATCCCACATATGGGGGATATGGAGTCCGGCTGGACTCTATGTCCGGCGGACTAAAAAAAAAAAACAAATACTGAATAAAAAGCCTCCCTCGAATTACAATCCCAACAGTGGACAGTCTCTTCCCTTATCCCCCAATCAAATATACCCTTACACCACTATTTAATTTCTTTATACCCTCCATCTCATTACACCCCCAATATATTACCAAAACTAACCCTAAATTAACTATTTTATCTCTTTACACCACTAATTTTGGTAATACGGTACTAAACAATTTACATTATTCCGGTGTTAAGTTGCCCGAAAAAATAGATCTCTCTAACATTTTGTTGCTATACATTTACAGAGACACTTTCTTCCAAATAATGATTTTTTAATTTGTGGTGGGCCTGTTCGGTAATACAACGCTAATTAATTTGAATTACTTCAGTACCATGTTATCAGACAATATTTTTTTCCCCAGCATTATGTTGCCGTCCAATTAGATGATAACAAAAAATTAATTTGGATCACTTATGACGTGCATGTTCAGTGATACATTATTATACAAATGGAATTACTCTAGTATCATGTTACCAAACTACAATAAAGTTGTCTAGGCGCCCGTCGCTGTGCATTGAAAAATTTACTTTCTTTTCTTGAAACATCCATAAAAAAATTCATAAATCAAACACGTATCCATAAAATCATACATACAAAGTATCCATAAAATTATTTGTGTGTGTTAATTTCCAACCACACTGCCAACTAAGTACTCAACTGGAGAACACCGACAGAATAGATTAAGCCTGAACGACCTACAACAGAAAGAAGAGATTCTAGTGGTGGTTCGTCCACCCAGGGGTACTTCGACGATCAAGTTAGTTATCTCTCAAAGATAGCAAAAGTGTTTAACTCACTTTTCAGAATATAAAAATCATATCTTAGACCCATGGGGGTGCCTCTCTTTTATAGCCAACACAAACCTGTCTCAATAGAAGCCTAACTTCTATGGACTTAGGATTACTGCTAATCTTGGACTTCCAGTAGGATTGGGATAAACTCTCTAAGAGTCTTATCTTTATCCAAACTGAAGTCTTCTCTCATTCTAGGACTCTTGTCCCTTATTCGCTTATCTCGGATTCCGGTAGTCTCGCAGATAACCTCGGCCAATCTGAGATCATCTCGGCGTTATGACTAGGACACGTGGCACCCTAGCTGGCACTCCGGTGACACCTCGGCCACGTGCTGTCATCCAATAATTACGCCCCCACAACTGCCCCCTAGGTTCTATTACCTCGGCATCTTGAGGTGATGGAACCTGTTTCATTTCTTCCATCTATCACGTCGGCTAAGCTCGCTTCATCATTTATTGCTGAAATCAGAACTCGTTGACTCAATACGACCAAGACCTATAGTCTGCTTTTATCAATACTTTGGAACCAACAACCAAGTTCGTTCAAGTTTCTTAGCCGAAGCCGTCCTCCTAGCCGGGGTATTTGCTTAATTAAATCAAGAACTCCAAGAGTTTCATCACGCATATGAGCTGGCACGCACAGTATTTCAACTGTTTCTTGCAACGTGTCTTTTCTCTATTGATCCGTACCTGACACGCGTTATCAGGTTGCGTCATTTCTGTGTACGCCGCCCGACAAGCACGTCATCCAAGGTTCATTGATTGCATTGTTTCCGCCATTTCGTATTTTTTGACAAAACTTCTTCCCTCTCTTTGTCTTTTCACTTTTGCATCTCTACTTTCACGTAAACTCTTTCTCTCTCTAATCCGCCATTGCTATTCCTTCAAAACTTTCTGAAATTACGTTCGTTCATCTCCTCCGGCAAAATTCCTACTAATCTTCTCCGGCTGCTGCCACCGTCTGACTCCGGCGTACTCAACACCGGCTTCATTCGTCTTTGGTAAGTCACTGTTTCTCTCCGATTTAACTCCATGTTTTAGTTTCTTGTTTCTCTTCAATGAACTCCACTACTTACGTATTTGTACCTTGAGTTCTACCATATATTGAACATGTTTGTTTCCTGATTCTGTTTGTGCCCAATCCATTCTTGAATATACATACACTGCTCACAAATTTGTTGATTTCTGCCAATGTTCTTGGCCTCGCACATCTGTACAAACTTTATCACTGTGTTCTTGATGATTCATCACTGTTCTTGATTCTGAATCACATTCATGTTGCTGTTTGCCGTGTTTTTTTTTCCAGATTCTTGCCTTCAATCTTCACTTTCCTAGACTTAGGTTTGGGATTTGTCTATAGAACTCACGAATCTTAGGGAGAACTGAAACGAATTCCCCTTCGATCCACACAAATTCTTACCCCAGCGCGAACTTAGGGGTTAGCAGAGGTCCCCCAAATCCTTACAAAACACTTTCTTCAAAAATCCAACACCTTCCTTCCAAGCCGACGTCATGGGTATGTGGAAGTATAGGGTAGACACCCCAACTAAGGTAGAATACTTTAGGCAGGAGTTCTCTATCGCAGCCAATGTTCATCTTAGGCTGGCTGGGGAGGAGGACTCCATCATGCCCAATGGAAATTTTATGCCTTTCCCTGTTGTGGCCTTGATCGAGTGTAGACTTAGGTTTCCACTTGACACCCTTTTCCGAGAAGTCCTCCACTACTACAAATTGAACCCAATGCAACTTGCCATCAACTCTTACCGAGTTATCAATGGTATAATCACCCTAGCCAAGAAAGAAAATACTAGGGTTACCCTTGCTGACATCCAGTACTGTTACACCATGTGTCGCCTGAAATCGGAAAAAGGCCACATCTATTACGTCAAGCCGATGTCCACTGAGTACAAGCTCATTGCCGACCTCCCAGACTCAAACAACGGTGCTGGAGACGATTACTTCATCGTCTCGGGCAACTGGGAGTTTCAACCAAACGATGACCTCCACCTTTATCCCCCTAAGCCGAACAGTTTTTAGGGAAGGAGATGGTAAGAGCCAAGTGTCGCCTCTCCTTTGCTTTCCTATTTAAGTTTTCAACACTTTGTTCTAACGTCTATGCTCTTCTTCTTGCAGCTCTTCCACAGCTACCAAAGGGCTTTCGCAAGTCCTTTTTCCCCAGCAAGGACTTGAAGAAGCTACTGGACCTGCCAGTTCATAAGCGAAGAGCCCCCCTACTGCTCAACTTCATCCCGACTTACAAGTTGGTTCTTCCCGACGTTCCGAAGAAGAAGAAGAGCACGTCTCCTCCGTCCACCACTACACCTCCAACAACTGCATCATCTCGGCCAAACCAAGGATCAACCTTTGATCCAACTGAGCTACCATTAACTTCAGCTCTTTATCTGATCCCTCTATCTCAACGCCGACGAAGACGCTGAACTGCAATCGCCGCTGAGATGGGCCACAAAAAAGCAGTCGCAGCGGATCTTTTGGCCGACATCCCTACCACCGTTGACGCTCAACCAACACTACCTCAGCCTCAACCAAAGTCGAAACAAAAAAAGATAAAGAAGGCTCAGCCAAAGGCAATGGTGACTCAGATTGATACTGAGGACACCTTGCCAATTTCAAAATTCGCTGAGAGTGAAAAGACCCCCTCCGTTGTCGAAAAGAGGCCTGTCGAGGACGATCCATCCCAATCCACTCGGTTAAAAAGGCCAAGGTTTGAATCGGCCACAACCTCGGGGCCAATGGAACCAGACGCCCTCTAGGCCCCTCTGATTACTATCGAGGACAAGCCGGTCAGAGCTGGCGACAGCGCGACTGACCTTGAAGTCGGCGTCGCCCTCTCTACGGCTTTGCTCCTTCCAAACGATCTCAACTGAAACGCCGAGATGAGCGAGTACGAAAACTTCGCTCTAATGCTCCAATATTCTGTTCAAGTAAGTCTTTCACACTCGGTATTTTTCTTTCTTTATTCTTTCATACTCAAAGAATTTTTCTAACTTTTGTTCTGTTTATTTTTTTCAGGCAATCCAGCACGCCCACTCCTTCTCAATGCAAGCTTTTGAGATGAGGAAGGAGTTGGCCGACAAAATGAGGGAGGTAACTGGTTTGAAGAAGACCTTTAAAAAGGCCGAGGCAAAAATAAAGACCTTGGCAGACCAGGCCGAGGCAGCCATTAAAGCTAAAGATGAGGCCGAAGAAAAAGCGGATGCTGCAGAGGCTATCAAGAAGGTTCTTAAGACCCAAAAGAAAGAGGCTGAAGAGAAGATGGCCGAGGCCCAAAAAGAACTCCAGGATGCCTTGGGCACAAAAGATGCCGAAATCAAGGCCATCGACGAAAAGGCATATGCTGAGGAGGTGGCCGATGTCACGACAGACTACAAGAGTCAGGTGAAGCAGGCATGCAACAAGGGTTTCATCCTTGGTTAGATGGCTGCCCTTAAAAAACTTGATGTCCCCGAGGACTCCGCCATCAAGAATGCCGATGACCTCCCTTTGCCATTCCCTCCTACTCCAAGCCAATCCGAAGACGATCCTAAGTCTAAGGAGGAAGCTTTGGTAAGGAAGACGAAGGGAGCTTCTAGGGCCAAGTCCCCTACTCTGAATGAGCAAGTCATAGACTTGTCTCAGGATGAAGAGGGCAAGGTCTCTAAAGATGCCTCATCTCAGAAGACAAACTCTGAGGTGCTGATTGCCAAAAAGAGCCTTAATTAAACTCTTCAGGAGATTGATGCTGAGCTCGCGGCTGAGAAGGCTACTGAGAAGTCTTCCCAACTGTCTTCTGGGGGTGAGATGCATATTCCCGTCGACACTGAGTAGTTTACTTTGACGTTTCCTTCTTTTACTTTTTGTACTTTGTACTTTTATCTTTCTTTTTGGAACAGTGTAAGCTTTCATTTGGCTGACGTGCCACTTTTGTAATCAGAACAATTACTTTTCAATGTTAGGCCAAAGTGCTCCCCTTTCTTCTCTGAATGCATTCTCTAATCTTTTCTTTGAATGTTTGTCTTCTTTTTTCTGCTCTTGTATGACTCTTACACTTAGAATATTTTACATGTCTTCAAAGTACACCTTGACTGTGTAATCTTCTCGGGGTTATATATCTTGGTTATACAAACCGACGCTTTTATCTCGGCAAGTACGCAAGTACTTCTCTCGTTTCAGCCTTGGTTTAACTTGTAAATTGTTAAAAAATTTCAACAAGTGTTTAAACCAATCTTCCTTTAACACAACCTCGGTTTAACTTCAACTTGTAAATTTAAATTTCAACAAGTGTTAAACATAACCTCAGTTTAACTTCAACTTGTAAATTTTTTACAAATTTCAACAAGTGTTAAACATAACCTCAGTCTAACTTCAACTAGTAAATTTTTCACAAATTTCAACAACTGTTAAACATGACCTCAATTTAACTTCAACTTGTAAATTTTTCACAAATTTCAACAAGTGTTAAACATGACCTCAGTCTAACTTCAACTAGTAAATTTTTCACAAATTTCAACAAGTGTTAAACATAACCTAAGTTTAACTTCAACTTGCAAATTTTTCACTAATTTCAACAAGTGTTAAACATAACTTTAGTTTAACTTCAACTTGAAAATTTTTCACAAATTTCAATAAGTGTTAAACATGTTTCCAATTTCAATTCTCAATCATCATTCTCCAACTCTCTGCCGCCTAATGTGGACTTAAGTTCCGCTTCGCTCCTCATTATGCATGTGGCTTTTGAAATTATTGTCGAGGTCAGATTCAAACAAAGTCTGGCCGAGGTGGTTAACCTTGGTCTCTTTGTTAATCTGACTGGCATGTACTAAGTTCCAGTCTGTGCTTGACTCTACCGATATGTTAAGTCTGTATTAATCTAACTTAGTTCAACTCTATTATATGCAAGTATAATTTAACTCTGCCATATAATAAATCTAAGTTATTCGCCATATCGTCTCGATATTACACAGATTTAAAATCAAACAATCGAGCTAAAATTTTATTAATTACTTCGGCTAATAACAAAAAACTTAAAGAACAAGAAAATCTAATGATAAAAGAACTTTAGGTTGCAAGTATTCCAGAGTCTTGGCAACTCTTTGCTTTTACTGTCTTCAAGTCGATATGTCCCATTACCCAATACCGAGATAATTCTATATGGTCCCTTCCAATTTGGACCAAGCTTGCCCTCTCTAGGATCCTTCTTGTTGCCAACGACCTTTCTCAGGACGAGGTCCCCAACTTGGAAGTCTCTTGGGTTGACCTTTTTATTGTAAGCTCTAGCAAGCTGTTGCTGGTATGCCCCCAGCTGAATTGCTGCTTTGTCCTTTCTTTCTTTCAAAAGATCCAAATCTCAGGCTAAGAATGCCTTATTGGTCCCATTTTCCACTCCCTGGGTTCTAATCCTTAGGATGCCGACCTCTAGTGGAATGACTGCTTCTGTGCCATAAGCCATGGCGAATGAGGACTCTCCAATTGATCTTCTCGGCGTAGTCCGATATGCCCAAAGAACATTGGGCAATTCTTCCACCCACTTTCCCTTTGCTACTTCCAGGCTTTTCTTGATTCCATCTACTATAACCTTATTGGAGGCTTCGGCCTGACCATTACTCTGGGGAAAGCTTGGAGTAGAGTAATAGTTCTTGATTTTGTACTTTGCACAGAAACTCTTGATTAGCTTACTGTCAAACTGTGTACCATTATCAGCTACTATTGCTCTTAGGATCCCAAACCTAGTGATGATGTTCTTCCAGATGAAGTTCTTTACATCAATGTCTCGAATTTTTGCAAGGGGTTCAGCTTCTACCCATTTGGTAAAGTAGTCAGTTGCTACCAGTAGGTACTTCCTTTGTCCAGTTGCTTAAGGCAGTTACCTGACAAGATCCATGCCCCACTGGGTAAATGGCCAAGGACTGGATACTAGGTTCAAGTCCACTGCTGATTGGTGTATCAAGGGTGCAAACCTCTGACACTTTTCACACTTCTTAACATAGGCTTCTGCATCTTTCTGCATGTAGGGCCACCAATACCCCTGGGTAATGGCCCTATGAGCAAGTGATCTGCCCCCAGCGTGGCTTCCACATACTCCTTCATGTATTTCGTACAAAAAAGCTTCAACTTGTGAAGGATGTACACACCTCAAAAGGGGTCCAGTGAAGGATCTTATGTAGAGATGTCCCTCTGCTATAAGACTGAATCTTGCCGACTTCAATCTGATCTTGTGTGCCTCCTTGTGATCATCTGGCAGTTTTCCTTCTTTCAGGAATGCTATTATCGCAACCATCCAGCTTGGTCCCATGTCCACACATATTGCTTCACGCTCTGTGTAGACCGCCCCGAGAACTCCGCTCTCCGCGCCCCAAAGGCGCGAAAACCGTTTTGTTCTGAGCTACTACAGTTTGGACTCCTGTCACGGTTCTGAATCTAATCTCACAAAATGCAATGTGAGACTGATAAATCACCAAAGAGTCCAAATTCGGCAAATCGTTTTGGAAAACTGATTTTTAATAAAGAAATGTCAAACATGGACTGATTTGCCAGATACAAAGTCGCCACCTAAATATTTTATTTTGGGAGAATTTAGGAAACCCTGACTCGTGCCTAAGGCCACGTGTCCGTCATCACCAAAGTTGTCTTGGCTCGAGAACTTGGGTACGAGAGGGGAAGGTCATGCAATGAGCACCCCCGCTCGCCCGATCAAAGATCGGCATGTACTAAGCATGATATTTTATCTTTGAAAACACATGTGTTCTTATTCCGGTTATTAGCTAGCTTACTACGTGATGCGCACAACATACAAGTATAGATTAGATCACCTAAGTTGGAACAAAACATTTCATGTTCGTTTGTGAAAATGATTTGAAGCTTGCTACTCGCAAGTAGGCTAAGACTAGGATTTTGATGAATTGTTTCAATTCAAGCAATCTAACCTTCACTCACAAGCATTCATGCAGTTATACACTTAAGCAGTTAGCCTCATGGCAAGCATGCTGACATGGCAATATACACATATCATGCAGTATGCTAAAGCATAAACACATGGAATGCAACTTGATAACATGCTGTTGAACACGTGTTCAAGTAAATGTATTGAAATACAATGCAGTTTTATATAATGTGCCGAGCCCCGTGCATGCAAAATAGATGCATGGATGCACGCATGCGAAGCATAAGGATGCTAATTGAAATATGCCCTAAAACTAACCATCGTAAACGGTTAAGTAAAAGGGAGAAAGAAATGGGGGTTGGAAGACATGCATCACACACACGCACGCTTATTACAACAGTTGGCCCTCTCAACGGAGGGTCCGAATAAGAGCTAACTAGCTAATCTAAGCTAATTAAACTAATTATTACAAAGCGTAATTAATTAACTAACAAGCTAACCAATTATGACAAAATGAAGCTAATTAACTAACAAGTTAACTAACTAGTTCTTACAAACACAAATAAGCAGCTAAATGCATTAACTACTTAGGTACAGAACCAAAGCATAAACTAGCTAAGGAAAGCAGTAAAAAGAGGTCCTCGGGATGAGGAGTGCATGCATGCTCGGTCACCTCATTTGGAAATCCGTCGCGATGCCCCAATTTGCCTCTATTTACTGACCTCAGAACACTGCACAAAGCTCCACAAAGCTTCTACTCCATCATAGGAACCTGTAGGAACATGGCCGACCAGTTATTGATGGTGTAGACCTGCTGCCGACCATTTTTCTTTGCTGCAGACCAGAAAAAGTGGTCGACCAGCTAGTTTTTCTGGTAGGCCGACCAGTTTTTGCTGCACTTTTCCAGTTTGCTGCAACAGAGAGCAAGAAAGGGCATGGGAATGTATTTGCAAGATTTGTGTGCACAACCACCCTCCCTATCATTTTATAAGCTCAAGGGAGTATGGTTCTCGACCCTCGGGCCACCAATCACGCATCTCAATGCATGATGGCCGAGAAGCCAATTTGCACAATTCAATGTAAAATGAATGCACAAATAAACACATAAGGCCTAAAACTCTATCATGCTTGATCAAGAAGGAGCGTCGACGACCGAGAATTGAGGCACGTTTGATCACTTCAAGTATGAAACGTCCCTTGTTTCTCGTGTTTGGACTAGCACCTATTCCAAACACATGCAAAGCAAAAACAAGCATGCAACATGATTAACTTATCAAAGCTAATGGCATGCAAAAGAATGCTAATACAACATGAGCATGCAAACATAATGCAACGCAACATGGTCAACCTATCAATACTAATGGCATGCACAAACTCCAAATACAATGCAAGGCATACACACACTATGCTATGCAACATGAGCATGCAACAACATGCAAACAAACATGCTAAATGGACTTAAACCGAATGTGGACAGACCTCAGCCATGCTCAAAACAGTGGCCATAATGCAAAACAAAGCATGCACATGCATTGGCCCATCAATTAGGCCTAAGAAC